CACCTCTCCCACACCATAATTTTTCCTTTGTCTTATCCTTTTTTCAATAGTCCTTCACCACTTAATCTGTATCAAATTAATTTTTTGCATCTGATTTCTAACTTTTAGAACAAAGATTTCTCCAATGTTAATATATTGTTGTTTGTAAGCGGAAAATACTGTTTCCTTAAAATTGCATTAGGAAAATTTCAACCTTTTTCAAAACATGTTTTGAAGTGGCTGAATAATTATTTTATCTCTAAAAACAAGCATTCATCAAATACTTAACTACTAACAACTGTTAAAGCCTGAAATAAAAATTTTTAAAAATCTTCAGACACAGAAGGTCTAACTTATTTTCCTCCAAGTTTTAAATATAATGGCTTCATTTTGCAGGTATCCTTTGGCAAGATGCACACAACAGACACAGAGCTTTTTTATTATTCACTTTATTTTCATATAAATTAACATCCTAAAAAATTGAAATAGAAACACTAAATACAGTATTGCACATAGCGATCTTTGTTAAATGCCCTATTATTTCATTGAAGAACGTTAATATACACATTAGAAGGAGTGAAGGGAACAGGAAGACTACAAAACTACAACCAAAAAACCACTACTGTTTCTTTCCACTTAAACTACAAACTAAAAGTTAAGAGGCCATAACTTTACATAAATACAAACATAGTTAAGATTCAGAACGTTTTCTTTTTAAGTTGCTTTCCATAATTGGTTTGTAATAGCAATAAATTCTCTCCTTTATCCACAACCATAACCCCCAACAAATATTATTAAAGTAATTTAAAAAAACATAACTATTAATATTAGACAAAACCATCACAGTGCATCATGAGCTGACTTTAGAGTATTCTCAGAAGGGTAGGAGATTCACTTTTTCCCCCTCGACAGAAAATAAAGTCCTTTCCTAGGCCCCTTCAGACAATGAATCATCACATACTCATTTTACAGCTTTTAATCACCTGCCATAACACATAAAAACAACCCCAATCATGTCAAAATACTCAGGTAGGTATGTTTAATTAACAAGTTTTAGGTAAATGCCAATCGATCCAAAAACTTACTTTTTTTTTGCCAACAATTAGTCATGTTTGGCAATTTTATGAGTGCCATTTATTATTTAAATTCCTTCAAAATATTGAGTCACATTTTCTTTGTGAAAGGCAATGGCAAAAGTTATAGAGAGGCACACCTTTAGTTTATTTACTGCTGCTGCAGATTAGCTTTATGTAGGTTCTCAAAGGACATAGCCTGATAACAGCCCCCATTAAACTTAAAACTCGGATTCCTGACTATATTAAATGATTTATAGGAAAGGGGTTTCCTTTTACTATATTTTTTTCCATTCATTATCAACAAGTAAAAACAACGATAAACTTCTTTCACAAATATATAGTTATGGAGAGCAACCCAAAGACTTGGGAAATCCTTAATTATGATATAGAAATGGTACTTAAATTTTAGAATAGAAAATGACCATGTAGATGTGAAACTGATACAACGATTCACTAGAAATAACATTTCAACCATATGTCCAAGTGCCCTGACGTGGAGTCCTGGCTGTCAGTAAAAGGAAC